ACAACTCTCCAGCCCCTCTAGACAATTAAAAAAAAAACACCAAACTTTATTGCACATAAACAGACCATTCTGGTTAAATATCTATCTATATATATTTAAAACAATTTTATTTTCCATACCAATCCCAGTTCCCTCTCCCTCCCGTCCTCCCACTCCTCCCACCTTCTCCCCATCCCATTCTATTTTTTTTTATGGTGCTAGGGACTGAACTTAGGGTTTCATAAACAATGGACAGGTGATCTACCTCTGATCCACCTCCCTGCCCAGATTAAAAAAAAACAAAACAAAACACAAAGCAATACCCCTTTCCCCAAAAGCAAGGAAAGTAAAATAGCCTCCTAGCCCTGCCTTTTGAGGATCATATGAGTCCATTTCTTTCTAGAATGACAAAAATGCTTGGCATTTAAAATTGTCAGCAGGTGAGAGTATTTCGTTCATTGGTTATGTAAAAAAATTTAAAATAGTCAAATTATTTCTTTGCAAATGTTTGTGAGAAGCTGAGTATGTGAAACACAGAGGAAGGAGGTGACTCAGTGGGTGAAGTGCTTGCAGGGCGCGGTGGTTTGGATGAGGGTGGCCCCCACAGGCTCACATATTTGAAGACTTAGTTACCAGAGAGTGAACTATTTAGAGGGATTAGAAGGATTAGGAGGTGTGGTCTTGTTGGAGGAAGTGTGTCACTTGGGGTGGACTTTGAGCTTTCGAAAGCCCATGTTAGACTCACCCCTCCCCTCTTGGCCTGTGAATCAGGATATATAGCTCTCAGCCACTGCTCCCGCACCACGCATGCCATCATACTCCCTGACATGATGACACGCATGCCATCATACTCCCTGACATGATGACAATGGACTAAGCCTTTGAAACTGTAAGCAAGCCCCTAATTAAGTGTTTTTCTTTTATAGGACTTGCCGTGGTCATAATGTTTCTTTACAGTGATAGTGACTAAGACACAGGGCAAGAGCAAGAATCTGAATTTGGATCTTCACCTGCCACTTGTACCATACTTGTAATCCAAGTCCTGGGTGTGTGTGGTTTGGAGACAGTTGGATCTCCTGAGTTTCATGGCCAGCCAGTCTAGCCAATCAGTGAGTTCCAGGTTCAGTGACAGACAGACTCTGTCTCAGGACATATGGTGGAAATTGGGCACACACACACACAGACACACACAAACACAAGACACACAGACACATGCAAAGACACACATACACAAACTCTCACACACAAACATACACACACACACACACACACACACAAGTGAATAAATAAACATACATAAGGAAGCCTAGAACAGTAGTTTGCACCTGTAATCTCAGTACTTTAAAGGCTGAGACAGGAGGATTGTCATAAGTCTGAGGCCATTGTGGGTTACATTATGAGTTTTAGGTCAGGCTATCCTACATAGTGAGACTGTGTCTCAAAAAAAAAAAAAACAAAACCAAAGACAACCCACTGAGTCCTGAGAGATGGCTCTGTAGTTAATAGCACCCGCTGCTCTTGCAGTTGATCTGAGATCAGTTTCTAGCAGCCATGGTAGGCAGCTCATAGTTTCCTGTAAACATGTGTTGTGGAATATTTCCGTACACTGTGTGAAGATGTGTCACTGTGATTGGTTTAATAAAGAGCTAAACAGGGACTTTGGACAGAGAGAGCTCTGGGAAGAGAGAAGGTGGAGTTGACAGCCAGATGGAAAGGAAGCGCTATGGCCAGTACAGAGTAAAGGTAACTGAGCTGTATAAAAGAGTGCAGATAAAAAGATATGGGTTAATTTAAGTTATAAGAGCTAGTAGGACAAGACTAAGCTATAGGACAAACTTTTATAATTAGTAATAAGTCTCTGTGTCGCTTTTTGTGAGCTGGTGGCCCAAAGAAAAATTCATCTACAAACGTGCACATAACATAAACGCACACACACACACACACACACACACACACACACACAATTTTAGAATAAAATCTTTGAAAAATTTAAAATGAAAATAAAATTCATTTAATAAAAATTAAAGAATCAAATCAAATTAATACACAAAGGCCAGAAGGATGGTTCAGTAGACAAAAGTAATCTGCCGCAAACCCAGCGACCTGAGTTCGATTCCTGGAACCCACGCGGTGTAAGGAGAGGATCAAGCCCTGCACGTTGTCCTCTGACCTCCACATGCCCATGGCTTGCCTCTTCCCAACCAAAATAAATAAATAACTGTAAAAAAACCCAACCCAACCCAACCCAACCCAACAGGAAAGGGTGCTGCTTAAAGGACTGGTGACAGAGGGAAGCCCCCAGACCTGGTTTCCCCATCCCTTGGCACCAGAGCAAAGTCCTGGCACTAGGCTTCTGTTGAACATGCTTTGCAAGTTCTTTCATGTCCGAGGTCAGCTGGCTGTGGCCCACAGAGATTCTGTGGCTGATGAGTTAGCTTTCAGATGCGACATTTTTACACGCTTCCCAGGGAAATCTATAGGTCTTTCTCCATACAAATGCTCTAGGATTCTTGTCCAGGAAAGAGGCTGGAAGTGGGAGAAGGGGGAGGGGGCAGCAGAGACTGAGTGTGTTTCTTATTTTCTTTCCTCATCCCCAGTCACCTAACTTCAGCCCAAGTGAAAGAGGTCTGGGAGGGGACTCGCAGGGCATAGAAAAGGATGCAAATCTTGAGTTGGGAAGGGGTAGGATTTAAAAAAAATTAATTAACTAATTTCTTTGTTTTGTTTGTTTGTTTGTTTGTTTGTTTTTATACTTTTTTTAGAAAGGGAGGGAATTTTTTTTAAAACTTTATTTAACTTTATTTCATGCGCACTGGAGTTACAGACAGCTGCGAGCTGCCATGTGGGTGCTGGGAATTGAACCTGGGCCCTCTGGAGGAGCAGTCAATGCTCTTAACCACTGAGCCATCTCACCAGCCCATTTGGTTGGTTTTTTGAGACAGGGTTTCCTCTATAGCTTTGGAGCCTATCCTGGAACTAGCTCTTGTAGACTAGGCTGACCTTGAACTCACAGATATCCATGTGCCACCACCGCCCAGCTTGACTAATTACTTTGTATCTGTAGTAGTGGGGAGGGGGGGAGCCTAGGAAAGCACTGGAGTCAGAGGACAGCTTGAGCAAGTCAGTTCTTCCTACCACCTGGTGGGCTCCGAGGACAGAACTCAAGCGTAGGCTTTGATAGCAAGGATGTCTTCCTAGAGCACCATCTCCATGGCCTTCAGGAGGCAGGTCTAATAGGTGAGAAGAAAGGGAAGTGAGGCAGAGGTGAGGGCAGAAACACCTTGAAAAGAGAGATGACCTGGACTGAGTTTCAGTCTTTCTTTAGTTGGGGGGGGCAACTTCTGGTACCTTTTCTGGCCTCAGTTTCCCTTGAAGGTTTCTTTGCCCAGCAGTGACTAGCAGAGGTGCAGGCAGGCCATGGGTAGGGACAGTGTGGTATAAGACAGCCCACACACTAGGAGTTGATTTAGCCAACCCAGTGCAGACAGCATCTGAGCATCTCAAAGTCCCTCTGGGTCTTAGATTCTTCTCCAGGAAGGCTGTGTGGCACGAGGTGATCTGAGCCCCAGGGTACACTACAGACGTTCATAGCAGTGATCTGGGGCGGTGTTTAGGGAAAACTGGGGAAGGGGCAGATGTTTGGTTCCAGGATACCTGGAACTGGAGGCTTCGGCGTTCAACTGGGGCTCTTCTGTGAATTTTGGCTTCTTGTTGTCTGAGACAGAATCTTTTTATGTGGCCTAGGTCAGAAATCTCAATCTTCCTATGTCAACCTTTTGATGGGATTACAGATAGGTTCTACTTCTCCCAACTGGCAATCTTTATTTTCTTTTATTATTTTATTTTATTTTATTATTTTATTTTATTTTATTTATGTAACCCAGGCTGGCTTTAGACTCACTACATAGTCGAGGATGATTTTCCTGCCTCCCCTTCCTGAGTGCTGGGATTACAAGCAGGTATCTCCACAGGGTTTGGTTTTATGTGGCGTTGGGAATCGAACCCAAGGTTTTGTGCATTGGGAAGCACGCTACTAAATGTGCTATAGTCTCAATTCATACAGTCTTGTTTTATAGGTTAAGAAATGGCTTAGAAAGACAGTACTGTTCTGCCTTCCTTGGTTTTGATCTTGTGAACTCTGCATAGTCTAAAGAACCAGCTCAGCACAGGTGTGTGGTAGACAAACTTTTGGGGGTTGTTTTTCTGAATATCACTGACTTTCATTTTTTTCTTTTTTCTTTTCAAATCATCACGATTGTTACAAAAATTTCCACTTTTTGGAAGTGGAAAAAAAAACCTGAGAAACTGCTGCTATCCTTCTCTCCCCTCCCCCTGGATCCCCAGAGGTTTTCTCCATGAACGATTGGTTCTCACCTCCCATTCCCTTCCCTCCTTTCTCTCTGTTTTTTGATCTGGCTACATAACCTAGTCTGGCCTCAAACTCACGGTCCTTGTGTTCCCGTCTCCCGAGAGTCAGGATGACAGGTGGGCATCACTCTGCCCTATTTTCATCCTGCCCTTTCTGATGTCACCTCCACCCCATGTTTCTTTTTCATATAAATGAGACTGTAATATAAATTATTCAACTATACACATTAGAATCAGATATACCTGTCTTCTGATCCCAGATCACGGCTAATTATTTGAGTGACCTTGGCCAAGTTATTTTAACTGTAGTGTGTGTGTGTGTGTGTGTGTGTGTGTGTGTTGCTTACTATGCACCAGGTACTACTGGATTCTATTCCTATACTATCTCATTAAATCTTCCATAACCCTAAAAGGTAGATACTATTAATACTCGGGGAACACACACACACACACACACACACACACACACACCCTCCAGTGGCGCATAATGAGTTAGAGACAGAGCAAACACTAGATCTTGAGGTTTCTAATCTCTAGCCTCCGGACTTTGCCATATCTCTGTTTCTTACCCAGATCCCCCTGGGGCGCAAATGTGCAATACTTGCTAAATGAACAACTGCGGGTGGAGGGTGGATCTAGGGAGTTGAAGTCTGTGGAGTTTCCGGATGCCTGCCCTGGACAATGCAGGGTTTCGCCCTGTGGGTTGGGAGAGTAGGGACAACAGGGCTGGCTGGACCAGCTGTTGCCTCGGGGCTCCATGCCTGGCCAGTTGAGCCTCTAGGGCAGAGACTGGGGCTCTCAGCTTAAAAGCTCTTGGCTTCAAAGGAATGTGTAGTGGGCTGCCTCTGCTCAGGAGGGGCTAAAAAAAGCCTCAGTCACCCTGGACTATGTGTGAGGGTTATCAACAGCTCAGGTCAGCTCATCTCTCTCTGACCACTCCGGCGCTTAAGAGAGGGTCTGTTTTCCTGCCCCCTCTCTGGTTTCCACCAATTGGCAGAGAAGAATCCATCTGCTCCAGAGGTGCAGGCTGTGAGGAGTGAGGTGTGTGTATGGGGGGGGGGTGGGTGAAGAGGGAACTGGTGGCCCCAAACTGGTGACAATACTGAGATGTCAGCTGTGCCCTGCTGCTGTTTCTTCCTTTTATAGCCAGCAGCCGTTGCCCTCGCTCTTACCCGGCCCCTCTGTGGGGGCTCCTGCCCAGGATAAAAGCAGGGGGAGGCCTTCCAGTCTTCCCTCTTCTCTCTCAGGGGCGACCTCTCCTCTTTTGCTTCCTTTTTAGGTCCCACCTCCACTGGAGCTCCCAAGACAACATGCCTCCCAAGAAGCCTGAACCTAAGAAGGAGGCTGCCAAGCCAGCCGCAGCTGCTGCCGCTGCTCCAGCCCCTGCCCCAGCTCCTGAGCCCTCCAAGGACTCTGCCTTTGACCCCAAGAGTGTGAAGGTGAGTGAACCCCAGTCCATCGGGTATGGGTAGAGAGGACGGGCTCCTATTCTCTCTGTTGCTGAGGGATCTGTTTCTCTCAGGCCAGACAGACGTGAGGACCATGGCATCCGTGCCCTATGCCATAGCTCCAAGGGCCAGTAGAACCAGAACTAGACTCAGAGACATTGTTTGAGCGATGGGTTGTTGCTCTGTGCACAGATGTCAGACCACTCCTGATTAGCGGAGCAGAATCCAAAATGGTGGTAGATGCAACCAGCCAGCTTTTGTGAAACATCGCGTGGGGAAACCATGGTGAAGCAAAAATCAGCCTTTACCTAAAGTGGAAGATGAATATATCTTTAACAATCTATTATTTTATTCTCTCTGTGTGAGTGTTTTACCAACATGGATGTCTGTGTAACACATGTACTCAGTGCCTACGGCCAGAAGAGGGCATTGGGTCCTTCAGAACTGGAGTTACAGATTGTGAGACGTCATTTGGGTGGTGAGGACCAAACCTCGGTCCTCTGGAAAAACAGCTACTGCTCTTAACGGTTAAATTATTCTTCTAGCCCCGAGAGGTGGAGTATGTTTATGAAAAATAGACACGTACTAGGAACTAGTGGTATAGCTGGGGGTGGGGTGTGAGCAGCCAGTGGGGTCCGCTTGTGTGCCGGAATGTGGGAACCTTCACCATAAATACACTGTTGGGAAAGAGAGGCAGAGAAGACAGGAGCAGCCTGGGGCCTTCCCTTTTTCTTTCCCTTACACTGGTGGGCCACTCTTTCGAGGCCACAGGCTGACACTCACTCCTGGCTGAGACTTCTCTACCCTGGGTAGGAAGCTGGGCCTGCTTTCTTTAGTCTTTCAGTTTTATGTCCTGCTTTGTCTTGCTCCCTTCATCTGGCTGGTAACTACCTCCCTCCCTGCCCCTCTCTGGAATTGGTATGAGCCCCTGTAGACTGACTCCATCATTTTAGGCCTCCCAGCCATCTGTCCCAGCTGCTGAAGGAATGAACCAGGAAGGGTTGGGCCTGGGAAGGAGTGGGGTCTGAAGCTTCTAGAGAGGAACAGTTTGAAGACTTGGCACCAGGTTGGGAGCCGTCAAGTGGCTTCTGATGTGAAGAGCTATTAATAGCAGGTCTGGAGTGGTGGGCCCCCTAGGGGATCTCACAGGACAAGGCTGGGGGGAGGTGAGAAGTACCGGACAAGGTTCTGGGACACACAGGCAGAGACCCTGAACCCAAGGCTCTAGCTGTGTGGGCCTCCATAGTCTTCTCAGGACGGAGCTCACATCAGAGACTTCAGACAGTACTGCATAGAGGGAGTCAAGATCCTGTTAGCCCTCCCAGGGGGTTGGCAGGATTGACTTGTCAAAGGGATGAAGGAAGTTGCTCCATGCCTAGACTTGGTTGTGTGGCTCCTTGTGGGGAAACCGAGAGTAGTGAAAGGCCCCGATAGTACCTGGGGGCTTCCAGCATCATCTGTCTTCCCTAAAGCTGAGCATCCGTGCACCCAGGAGCCCCCCCTTGCCTTTATTTCTGATTTGTCTGATTAAACTCCATATTTGGCGCCTGTTGTCCGGACAACTTCCCAGTGACATCAAATGAGCTCTCCCGCTTTGAGCTGTCACTCAGGGAGCCATTCCCTGCTCACTCACATATCGCCTAGTTCCTTTGTTTAAGATCCCTTGACCGCAATGGGAGCAGAGGCAAACCTGAGCCCATTGTGTCATGGTGACCACGTGGTCAGGCTGAGTGCGTGCGTGTGTGTGTGTGTGTGTGTGTGTGTGTGTGTGTGTGTGTATGTCTAGTCCTGGAACAGAAAGCATTGTAAAGCAAGGCAAGCTGTCTCTCCCCGGAGGGTTAGTGTAGACCTTGCTTTGCCTCATTTACCTCCACACTTGGCAACACTACTCTCGGCTATAGTTTCCCAGCTGAGCCCCTGTGGTGTCAGTTCTGGAAGAAGAGGTGGGACATGGCTTGGTGGCACATGAAATGCCTCAGGGGTGGCACCCAGCACCACTAGGGAATGGAAGGCCAGGGCAGAGCAGAGTGGGAAAAGACATTGAACTGACATCCAGAATTGTTAAAACGACGACTCATACTCGGTCATCTCAGTTAATTTTCCAGAACTTCCCACCTGGGCACAACCATGTGTGTTGGGGGATGGGCACCTCAAATCCATTTCTTCATTCAACACGCTATTTTTGAGTACCTACTATATACCAAACACTTTAGTGATTATAAAAGTCTCTACCACCCTGGGCGCGGAGGGAGGATAGGGACCTGGTTTTAATGAAACAGGCACAGATAGGCAGGGACAAAGAACCAGGCACCTGGAACTCACTAGAGTGCCTGGGAGGAAGATGGTGTGGGGTGGGGGAAGGGAAGGCTTCAATCAGTGAGGTGGGGAGGGGTCCCCCAGAATGAGCAGCACTGAGCACCCAAAGCTAGAGGAGGCACATCTAGTCAGGGCATTGTGAACTAGGGGGTTCCTGGGGGTGATAGGGAGAGCAGCTTGTCCGTGGCTGTCTAGGCTGAGAAGGAAGTTGCTGTAGACCCCAAGGAACTGTAACATGGGTCACTGTAGGCGCTAGGACTGTGTAGGTAGCTAACTTCTCTTTCGTTTCCTCTTGGTGGTGATTTCTTATTAAGATTCATTTATGTGTATGACTCTCTTGTCCACATGTATGTATGTGTACCATGTGCGTGTCTGTTGCCCATGGAGTCCCGAAGAGAGCATTGGAACCCCTGGAGCTGGAGTTTCAGATGGTGTGAGCCATCATGTGGTGCTAGGAACTGAACTTGGCTCATCTCCAAGGGCAGCGATGGCTCTTAATTATGGAACCATTTCGCCAGCTCCACCCCTTCTCCCTTCCATTCTCTGTTCTGAGAGAGCCCTGAAGGGTGCACTATGCCATAGATTTCCAGCTTTGGCCCATTTATCAGGAGACTGGCTTACACTCAGTCCGGTGTCCTTCCCTCTTCATCAGTGGCCTGCTGGAGGTGACCAGACTCCCCTTTGGAAGCCATCAGCAGTCCCCGCCCTCACTCCTGTGTTTCTTTCCCTACAGATAGACTTCAGTGCTGACCAGATCGAAGGTGAGTGTCAATGACTCTGTGTTCTCTTGCGCTTTCCAGAGAAGGAGTAGGGGTCCTTGTGGCAACACTCTTGTTATCCCAGCAGTCCCGCTAGGCCCTAGGTGCTTTAAATGGATCAAGTCACTTGATTCTTCAAGTGAGGTATAGTAACTATCACTGCCGCTGTTTCACAGGTAGTAAAAATGAGGCTCAGAGACTTTGGGTGTCTTGTCCATTCTCACGGGGCCAGCAGTGGTGGGTCCAGGATGTGAATCTGGGTATCTTACTCTAGACCTTTGTTTTTAGCTGCCCTTTCAGAGTGGTTGAGATACAGTTGATGCTGCTGTCTTTACCCCGCCCCTCCACTCCCCGCCCCCAATCTGTCAGGATATCTGGAAACCCTTCTCTCTGTTCTTGATACTGGAAACACTTCTTAGCTAATGGACTCTCCCTCCTTCATCATGAAGAAAGTCTGCAATATATATCCTCCCTGGTGGCAGGGCCAGGAGTGACTTGTAGGTACTTGGTCCATCTGTGGTCTCTGTCACCAACTCTTCTTATTTTTCAACAGAGACAATTGAGGTTTTCCCAATCTTAATATAAATCGTCAGTCAATGCAACTTTAGGATAAATCTCAAGGGGCTGGAGAGATGGCTCAGTGGTTAGAAGCGTATTCTGTTTTTGCAGAGGACCTGAGTTCATTTCCCAGAGCAGTTTACAACCACCTGTAACTTCAGCGCCTGCACACCCATAACCATGCAATTAAAAAAAGATACACAAGGATGTACTTGAATAATCAGAGAGCCCTTCATGCTGTCTCCATGGAGGGGGCATTAGCATCTTTTCTCCAGTGGTCTCCCGGTGAAAGATGTCTGCATTTGAGTTGTAAGGTTAATGACAGTTCTTGTCAGTTTCCCTCGAAGAAAGCCGTATCAATTACTCACACACAGAGCATGAGAAAACCGGCACATGTGTTTTAAGGCTGGTGACAGGAATCTGTTTCTGTCGTAGCCATGGAGACTCACTGTCAGGCGACGGTTTTGCAGACGCTGTGGAATTCTTAGTGCTTTCTAGTTAAATGCACACATCTGTAGTACGTCAACCCCACGGCACCAGAGTGGACTGGAAACTCACTCAATAATTAGTGTCTCGTTTCCCACGGGAATCGTGGTGGAGGCTCGCCAAGACAGCTGCTTGAGTTCTACTCTCCCGCAAGGTCCCCAGGGGTTACGAAGGCTTCTTCTTAAACTTCCATCCCTGTTGTCTCTTCATTTGCTTTTTGGTGAAGCTGTAGCTAGGGAGTGATTTTCTTCCTTCCTGCCTTCCTTCCTTTTTCTTTCTTTCCCTCCCTCCCTCCCTTCTCTTTCTCTCTCCCCCTCCTCTCTCTCTTAAGATAGGGTCTTAATTAACTCAGCCTGGCTGCAAATTCCCTTTTAACTGACAATAGCCTTATGCTTCTGATTCTCCCGTCTGCACCTCCCAAATGCTGGGGTTCTAAGTGTGTATGACCACACCTGGTTTATGTGGTGCTGGGATTGAACCCAGGACTTCGCCCATGCCAGGCAGGTTTTTTCCTGCCTGAGCCATATCCCCAAAGCCCAACTGATGGTTTAGTTGTGTTATAGTGAAAAGAGCATTCTTGGGGAATCAGGAGACTCCTTTATTGTCGCCAGCTCTTCCACGATGAGCCATACTGTGTTTGCCCTCCCACGCCTTGTCTTCCTGGTTCGTTTTATTTATGTGTGTTTACATATGCTCTCATGGAGGTCAGAGCAGGCATCAGATCTCCTGGAGCTGGATTTACAGGCTTTTGTGAGCTGCCCAATGTGGGTGTTGGGTTTTAAATCGTGTCTGATAGAGCATTAAGCACTCTTAACCACTGAGCCATCGCTCTAGCCAGGCGTCACTTCCATAAAACCTAATTTTGTTTTATTCAAAGCGAGGCTATTTGGTTCTGCCCATTTCGAAAGTCTTGTGACAATTCAGCATCTGTCTACGTTCATCCTTCATCTATCTGGAGCTAGTTACCATGTTCTTCTAAGCTTTGCATTTTCTGGGTGCTATGGCTCCAATTTCCTTATACCCTTTCCCACATAGAAACCAACCTCCAACTGTTGACTTCTTCTCTGACCCCTTGCCAGATCTGCACAACCTTTTAGAACAGGGCTTCTACCATGGGGCTCCTTGTCTCAGGGGGCAGCTACCTCATTACCACTGTGTGCTGTCCCTTGGTAGGGTTGTTCCTGCACCAATGGCTCTGTTATTCCTAGTAGTAATTCCAAGCATTAATGTTTTCATGTGGGATCCTCATCAGGAAGAGTTGTAAGTAAGCCTGAGGTACTCTGTGTTGACGGTAGAAAAATTTGTAAGTAATTCATATGCAGCCTATAAGGAAGCAAGCGGTTCTAGGTACCTGGAAAGGATCTAGAGTAGTCACCTGTCCCTCTACAGTAACTCGCTGTTGATCTGCTTTAACCCCATTGGAACCAGTTTCCAGCTGTTGACAGCTGCTCTGATTTCCCCGACCAGATTTGCATATTCTTCTAGAACAGGGCTTCTGCTGTGGGACTCTTTGCTGCCCCGTTAGTTACTGCTGTCACTTGTGGTTGTCCACTTCTTTGTCAATGGCCTGAGGTGACTTCAGGGTCACTACCAGTTCACATTATATTAATAAAGTAACTGAATCCATATTGATGGAGAATTAGCCAGACACGGTGCCACATCTCTATAATCCTGGCACTTGGGAGGCGGAGGCAGGAGGATCAGCGGTACCAGGTTATCCTCTGCTACTAGCACATTTGGGGTCAGCCTGGGCTACATGAGACCTTGTCTCAAAACACAAAACAAACTGATGAAGAAGTAAGTCTATTTACAAAGGACCCTGGGGTATCTTAATTTGGCCTTCCCTTTAGACACCTGTTCAGTGTGTCAGGTCTCTTTTGTACTGAGTTAGCCCCAGAGGCAGGAGACATGGGAGCCACCTTAGTCTGCTCTCTGCAGATCCCACCAGCCATACAGGCAGGCGAACACTGTGTCCTCTCCTACAGCTAAGAACCAGAGGATCCACAGAAGTGTCATTTGACCAAAACCCACTGGTGGATCAGTGGCAGGCCTGGTGTGATCTGACTGTGGCCCCAATGTCACCTTGACTGACTCTTGCAGTTGGGAACAAGCAGTACTGATAATAGCTGACTTTTAAAAGGTCTTATCACTTTATAAACTGTCTCCGTGTCCTGCCACCTCACAGTGACAGGGATAGTGCAGGAGGGAACTGAGACCGGCCTGGCTTTTCTACTTTTCTAGGCAGAGCCAAACTGAAAATCTGGGAAGCCTCATTCCTGGCGGGGATAAGAGACTTGCTTCTACCAGGGAAGGATGTGGAGTGGGGAGAAACAGGGAACTACCAATTTTCTAACTGACAGGGAGAAGGGAGCCAGAGATCAGTGCTAGGTTAGGTCATGGGGTCCCCAGGTGACTTTGCTAGTCCAGAAGATGAGGTAAAAGCGCTTCCAGGACAGCCTGGAACAATGGCTCGAGGGAACTGCTACATTCTTTAACTACTCCAGGGAGCAAGCCGCAGTCACTGCCTTCTCTTGGGGCAGGAGGCCGTAGCTGCGTGTCTCTCTACAGAGTTCAAAGAGGCCTTTTCGTTGTTTGACCGGACTCCAACTGGAGAGATGAAGATCACCTATGGGCAGTGTGGGGACGTGCTGCGGGCCCTGGGCCAGAACCCCACCAACGCAGAGGTGCTGCGTCTTTTGGGCAAACCCAAGCCTGAAGGTTAGTGTGGGATCAAAATGGTCTAATAATTGGACCCAGTGCCAAGTTACATGGATCCTTTTTCCCCCCCTCCAATTCTGTTGGCTTATCTCTGTGACTCTGCCTGTCATCGATGGCATGTCTCACCCTAAGCCCTGGGTGTGTCAGGGCTGGGAAGGCTTCTTGGCTCTCTCCTCCCCGGAGTATCTACTTAAGTGGTGTTCTCTGTCCGCCCGTGCAGAGATGAGTTCCAAGACCCTGGATTTCGAGACGTTCCTGCCCATCCTGCAGCACATCTCCCGCAACAAGGAGCAGGGCACCTATGAGGACTTCGTGGAGGGACTGCGCGTCTTTGACAAGGAAAGCAACGGCACGGTGATGGGGGCGGAGCTCCGGCACGTCCTTGCTACGCTGGGTACGTCAGCTGGGCAGAGATGACAACCGCCTGAAAGTAGCTGACGGATAAGAGGGGCCAAGTGGCATAGGATGGGGCTTGTCTAAGGGTCCCTGGATCCGGCAAATTCGAATCCAGGGCCTGTTTCCTGGCCTCTGTGGGGCCGCCCCCCCCCCCCGCCTCTGTGGGACTCCCCCCGCCCCGCCCACCTACCCCAGGAACTGGGTTTGCCCAGTAAGCACCAGGGGTGGGAGAGAACAGTTGACAGAGCAGCGGTTACTCCTGAGGCCTGCCGTGGACTCGGGCCTTCTTCCCTTACCTTCGCCACTAGTGCTGGGCCCTGAGAGACTTGAGCCTTACCTTCCTGAGTCTTTGCCGAGGCTTGGCATTAGCCATTTTTCAGATCCAGGGGGTACTCTAAGCCTTTTGAGTGTTTTTTTCTTTTCCTTCCCTTTCTTTGCCCCTTGTCATTACAACCCCATTCCCACACCCCCAGGGGAGAAGATGAGCGAGGCAGAGGTGGAGCAGCTGTTGTCTGGGCAGGAGGATGCCAATGGCTGCATCAATTATGAAGGTATGATCCTTTCTAGCTTCCCAAGATGCCCAGGAGAAGAGAGTGATGGGGGATGGGATGGGACTGGCCAGCCCAGAGGCTGCAGGATGTGAGTCTCGGATGGATTGTGGCAAATTCTCATTTGGGCTTTTTTTTTCCATCTTGGGAGTGAATATCTGATATAACGGAAGGGGTGTTAAAATATATATTTATTGTTACTATTGTTGTGCGTGTATATATGTATGATATGATTTTGGTATGGGTACACATGTTCAGAGGTCAGAAGATAATTTTCAGGAATCAATACTTCCTTCTGCTGTTGGTTCCGAGGGACTGGACTCAGGTCATTAGGCTTCTGTGACAAGCACTTTATTGGCCCAGGACCTTGTGATAAACCACATGTGTGACTTTGATCAAGTCACTTGCCATCTCTGAGCCTCAAATCGGGGGGCATGCTGACCCATTTTTGTAAGTTGTGGGACTCTATAGTGATGATGTCATTCACATCATCTGTCTAACGTCAGCACAGAGGGGACACATAGCAGAGTTTAGGTCTTTTCCTCTTCTGTCCTCTCCACGAACCCTCCAGTAAGAGCATTACCACCTGTGGGAAGGGCATGGCAAGGCTGGAAGTGTGGGGACAGGAAGCAGCAGCGGAGAGGAGGGCGGAGCTCCGAGGGACACTTTGCATGGCTGATTGTCGATTTCTTTCCTAGCCTTTGTCAAGCACATCATGTCTGGGTAGAGAAGATTTCTCAAGGGTGAGTTCTGCCTCTTCCTCAAGGTCTTTTCTACGTCATATGCCCCAGAAGTCTTCTGTGCCAGGTCTGTGGAACCAAGATAGGAGGGCAGCCTGGGGCTACCAGCTGGGTGCTGGGTCTAGCCCCATTCCTCTCCTGCCCAGCCCCCTGCCCTTTGTCTTTTGCGTTGTCGTAGTTAGCAGTTCTATTGCTGAGGTAAACACCACACCCAGATGCAGCTTGGGGAGGAGAGGGTTTATTCAGCTGACAACTCTCAGGTCATACTCCATCACTGAAGGAGCCAGGGCAGGAACTCTATGTGCAGGAACCTGGAGGCAGGAACTGAAGCAAAGGCCATGGAGGGGTGCTGCTTACTGGCTTGCTCCTCATGGCTTGCTCGTCCTGCTTTCTTACATAGTTTAGGGGTCCAGAGTGGCACTTCCCCTAGTGGACTAGGACTTCCCACAACAATCATTAGTAAAAAATAAACAAACAAAACAACAACAACAACAAAAATCCCTACAAACTCACCTACAGGCACTTTGATAAAGGCATTTTCTCAACTGAGGTTCTTTTTCTCAGACAACTCATGCAGGCAAAACAACAACAGCAAAACCCAAAACAAAAAAGCCAACCAGGACATGTCCTGCTTTGACCTTTGCTGTTCTGCCCTCTTGCCTCCCCCTAGGTCTCTGAGGCCCGGTCCCAGCACAGGTTCTTGGGGTGTGACACCCCAAGTGACTTATGTCCTTTACTTCAGTCCCTTGGTGTAGGGCCCTCCCCATGATGTGGGGCTGTGAAGGGCATGGGATGCGGCAGGGTGACAATCTCTCTTCATCTAGCACGTTTTTTTTCTTCAGGTGCTCGGTCCTGGGTGAGCGAACGAGGGACCCGTGATGGCTGTCACAGAGTCTTGGACTCACACCACATCACAGCTCCACAACCTCTCAGATCTACGGCCTTCCCTGTAAATAAACAGCCTAGCACCGAGTCTCGCCAATCCCTCGACTGCTTTTTAAAACCCATTGATGGAGTTCATTTGTGTGTGCATGTGTGACAATGTCACCGGAGGCCTCATGTTCTTGAGAAATGGGTTGGATCTGGGAGCAGGGAGACGAGAACGTAAGGTCAAGGATCTAGAAATCGTATCAGATATGTGAGCAAGAGGCCCTTGAGGAGCCTGCAGCTCCTTCCAAAGTTCCTTCTCTACTTTGTCACCCTTAAGTCAAAGGTGGGAAAAGGGACACCTGGGGCTGTCAGGATCCCTTACGGAGTCCTTGCTTCTTCTTCTCCTTTAAGTCATATCAAACATGGAAACACACACCTGTGATCACCATGGTAGAGAGGCAGAGGCAGGAGGATCATATCATGTTGAGTTACATAGTGAGTTTGAGGCTAGCCTGGGCTACAAGTAGCCATGGGCTACATACAGCCTGCATTTAAAAAAAAGTGTTAGCTCAACACTAGCTTAGTATGTGTAATTACATTAGATTCCCTTTAAAAAATGTGATTAAACATCTAGAATACAGACTTTAGCAGGATAGCCATTTTTTAATCAATTCAGTTGTTGTCTTAATTAGGGAGTCTATTGCTGTGAAGAAACCATGACCACGGCAACTCTTACAAAGGAAAACATTTAATGGGGTGGCTTACAGTTTCAGGGGTCTAGTGAATTATCATCAAGGTGGAACATGGTGGCAAGCAGGTAGACATGATGTTGGAACTGAGAGTCCTACATCTGACTCTCAGGCAACAGGAAGTGGTCTGTCTCACTGGGTGTGCCTTGAGCATATATGCAACCTCAAAGGCCTCCACAGTGACACACTTCCTCCAATAAGACCACACCCCCTAACGGTGCCACTCCCAGTAGGCTTCTGGGAGCCAATTACATTCAAATGACTGCAGCAATGTTAAGAACCTTTGCACTGTGGGCCTGGAGAGATGACTCAGTGGTCAAGAGTGCTTGCTGCTCATTCTGAGGACTCCAGATTTAGTTCCTGGCACCCATATCCAGACGTTCACAACCACTTGTAACTCCAGCTCCAGGGGATCCAATGCCATCTTCTGTCCTCTGAGGATACACACACAGAGAGAGAAAGAGACAGAGAGAGAGAGAGATAGAGAGAGACAGAGAAAGAGAGACAGAGAGAGACAGAGGAACACAGAGAGACAGAAATCTTTGTGAGTTTGGGGCTAGCCTGGCCTACATAGTGAGTGCTAGAACAACCAGGGCTTCATAGAGAGACCCTGTTTCAAAAACAAAACAAAACAAAACAAAATCCCCCAAAAAACCAAACCATGCCTCACCCACAAAAGGGAAAAAGGAAACAAATCCTTAAAACCTTTAGAAACAACAACAACAACACCACCCCCAACCCCGACAACAGATGGATGTGAATTCATTCTTCTCTCCCAATGATGTCCAGGATGCTGGCCTTGGTATTCTGCTCAAACCCACAGGAACTCTAGCTGCTTTTATACTGTCTCCTCATGTGTGAGCTGTCCTGGTGATCTAAGATGGCTGCTGCTTCTCGGCCATCTTGTCCACTGAGGAGCGTTCAGAAACTTTTCCTATACAGTTGACCAATACATGCCCTTTGTGGTGTGGTTTAGCCATGTGAAGGCAGAAGAAACTCCTGTCCTTTAACTCCAATGGGGAGACATAAGGAAGGCTCTGGCCGCGGGGCCCATCCTATGGATTGACGGGAACGGAAAGTGATGGGCCACAGGGCAGCTGCTATGGGGAAGGAAGAACTGCTGAGTGTGGCTAAACTCTCTGCCCCCCAGGACCTAAGATGGTAAACAAAGTTCTCAGCTCAGGTTTCCATGGAGCGGAATGCTCTCCATCAGAGAGGAAGGCAGCTTGGTGGAAAGTCCCCTTGGCAGAGGGAATGAGCTGGAGGCAGTGTCCGTCCCTGTCCCTGCCCCTCCCCCACTTCTTCCCAATTCTGCACCGAACTTCTGATCCAGCCCACAGTCTCTACTCCCTGTCGGGAGGATTGAAGAAAGTGAGCCTTAGAGATGACATGATCATGGAGCAGGGACCTTTAAGGACAAAGGCAAACTTGGGAGAATATAAAACACCTACTCTGGTGCCTGTCCCTGTGCTGAGCAGACCACGGCCATTCCCAGCAGTTCAGGAGGTGGGAGTTACCACTCCCATTCAAGAACATTAAAATGTCACAGTCATAGTAAGGGCTGGGAATGTAGATCAGTGGCGAGCTCTTGGCTAGTGTCTATGGTTCATTTCCCATCAATAACAACAGAAACAGAAATACCCAAATACTTTTAGGTTGGTGAGGTGGTTGATGCTAATTATCAACTTGAACCAATCTAGAACCATACAGGAAGATAGTCTCAGTGAGGAATTAATTGTCCAGATTAGGTTGGCATGTGGGCTTGTCTGGATTATCTTGATTATATTAAGCGAGACGTCCTGACCCACCCACTGTGGGTGGCACCATTCCCTAGGTAGAGAATCCAGGATTGTATAAGAGTGGAGAAATCCTGTAGAAGGTAACTTGACAGGCACATCACATCCACTTAGTGAACGACAGCTGAAGCATCCTCACTAGGGCCTGTGCTCTCCCTAGCCACGGACTTTGGGCTGTTTACAGCGTCAGACATGAATTCCACTCGTGGAGCAGGTCTCAGATTTGTCACTATTGTGTAAGGGGGCATGTCTTTCCTGGCTGATCTGTAGAATAGCAACATTAAAATTATTCTAACTCTTCAAGATCTGAGCTAGGCTCGGCCCTTCACTACTGCTTCCCCCCACTGTCACAGATAAATGCTCCCCTTAACCCGAGGTCTCAGCTTATTCTCCTCAACAAAGTCACAAGGTTGAGAGCTGAAGATATCAGAACTAGAGGCCTTTCGATTTCCAGTGTCACATAACCACCTGAAGGCAGTGTGTAGCACAGTGCCACCATGTGTTGGGCATCGTGCAAAAACTGGTTATTGGGGCATTTAAAGTAAGTTGTATTAGAAATGGATGAAGGTGCCATGTCTAGTTCTCACCACTAGATGGCGGAATTGCAACAGCGTGCCTCCCCACCAGGAGTCCCAAGTGTGGCCTGAAGTTCATAGCCTGGGGTGGAAGAAGTTTCGGAAGTCATTTAGCTTATTTTTGGACCTTTAGACAAATGGAGATCTTGTTTATTTTAAAATAAGCACAGCAATTAGTTAGCCTGCGAGCTTCATTATAGGGTTTTGCAATGAGGGTCAGGGAGAAGTCATTGTTGTAAAAACATGGATTCCTGGAATGACCCATTTTGACTCCTAAAGCATGTACCCACTTCCCCTTAGTCGCGTAGCTTGTAAGATAAGAAGGTAGACTGGATCCTCTTTAAAACATTTTTTTGTTACACTTAATTAATTGTGTATGTGTGTGTGTGTGTGTGTGTGTGTGCGCGCACGCGCGTGTGTATCTGTGGAGGCAAGAAGAACATGTCAGATCCACAGGACCTGGAATTACATGGGTGCCGGGAACGGAACTCAGGTCCTGTGGAAGAGCAGCAAGCACTCTTAACTGGTGAGCTATCTGGCCTTCCCTCTACCTTATTTTTTGGAGGCTAGATCTCTCCCTGAGCCTGGAGCTCACTGATTTGGCAAGATTACCTGGAGAGTGAGCTCCAGGAATTCCCATCTCTCCCTCCCTAGTGCAGGCATCGCAGAGTAATGGGCTGTCTAGTTATATGCCCATGTGACACAAGCTAGAGTCTTTAGAGAGATGGGAGCCTCAGTTGAGAAAATGCCTTCATTTGATTGGCTTATAGACAAACCTGTAGGGTTTTTCTTAATCAGTGATGGATGGGGGCGGGACCCAGCACCATGTGGGTGGTGCCGTCCCTAGGCTGGTGATCTTAGGTTCTATAAGAAAGCAAGGTGAACAAGTCATGAGGAGTAAACCAGTAAGCAGCACCCCTTCATGGCCTTTGCATCAGCTCCTGCCTCCAGGTCCTTCCGTGTTTGAGTTCCTGTCCTGGCTTCCTCCAGTGATGGACTATGATGTGGAAGTGTCAGCCAAATAAACCCTTGCTCCCCAACTTGCTTGTGGTGTTCGTTCATCATCGCCATAGCAACCCCAACCAGGACACAGAGGGAGGCTGCTGAGTTTGTGTGTGGGCCCTGGAGACCTGAACTCAGCTCCTCGTGCTTGAGCTGGATGAAAATGGTCTTGTTCACACGAGCTTTGAGCCTTCAGTGGTGAGAGGTATCACAAACAGGTCAGTGTGAACACACACTAGCAGATTCTTCAGGAACCAAAGCCATGCAGGGTTTCTCCTTCTGCGAAGCTATTTTCTACCCAAAGGAAAATAATAAATACGTGAAAAGTAAAGCTATGTTAGAGGGCAGAATAGAGAGTCCTGGGGATTAAGGAGGGATGAGGACCAGAGCAGCAAGAGATCGGAGGAGGAGAAGAGGGAGGAGGAGGAGGAGAAGAGGGAGGAGGAAGAGGGAGGAGGGAGGAGGGCTTCATGAAATAGTTGTGGCAAACATGTAGACAGACAAGGATGCTGGTAAGGTCTTGTATCTCAGCTCCAGGAGGCTGAGGTAGAAGGGAGTCCAGTTGAACAATTTAGTTGACAAGATGCTGTCTAAAAAAATGTAAAGAAACAAAAAAGAAACCAAATCAGGCATTGTGGTCAACCCTTGTAATTCCAACGCTCCAGAAACAGAGACAGGAGTATCAGAGGTTCAAGGCCACCCTTGGTCACATAGTAAGTTCCAGTTAGTCTGAGCCATGTAAATACTATCTCAAAATAAATAAATAAATAAATAAATAAATGCACACACATGCATTCATGATTGATGATATACTCAGCAGTAGACTGTCTGCCTAGAACATATATCACCCTAAATGTAATCCCAAGGTTTAAAAAAAAAAAAAGCAAGAACTGTATGCATTGCCCTGAATTTTAAGATTTGGTTAAAAAGAGACAGCAATGAAAGAGGGATGAGCAAGAGTCCCGAGAATAGTACTTGGG